AGTAAACCTCCTCCTCGAGAAAGAGAGAGAGAGAGACACTTATTTCCTGATCTGATATGCAAGCTCTAAAATAAAATCAGAGTTAGTCAGATTGACTTATGGCAGTGGTTCTCAAATGTTCACTACTAAAAACCAAATTTTCAATCATAATTTTTATCGTGCCCCCCCTAAAAGTAATAATGTATTTAATGCAATAATAATGCACTTTTTTGGCGCTAAAGCTACAATACGATCATAATTATAAGCCGTACAAATTAGCAAGATAAGTATTAAATTTTGTATATGTTAATTTTAAGTAATATATATTTTTATTTATTTTATTTTTTTAGTTTGATTCACTATAAAAGCGTGTTTCTTTTAGTTTCTTTTAAAACTATAATTATTTATTTTATAATTATTTTTACTATACATGATAAAAATCACAATTCCAGTGACTAATTTAATTAAGAGAAAATATACTTAACTACTTTCAAGGACTTTCCAATTTTTCTTTGATAATTTGAGAAAAAATGCAATAAAACTAAAGAAAATGTTCCAAATGTGCGTATCCTTAATAAAGGACATTAATCCCAGACACTTTTCACTTACAATACAGGAACGTTATTTTCCGGCAAAAGTTGTCATATTTTGTTCACGTTTTTGTAGTTTTGCTGTCGTTTGATGATCTACAAATAGCATTTTGAACTTTTCTTCCTTGTGTCTTTTTGACAAAGCGAAGTGCTACATTATGGCTTCATAGGCTTCTTCATAGAATTCTATAGGCAGCATTTGAAAATTTCAAATCAACTCAAATGTTTCATGTCTAACGCTTTTCGCATATTTATTTTCGCTATCTTGATTAATATACAATATTTCAGCGGGTTCTTTAATTGCTTGATCAGTTTCAACTTCTTTCAATAGGGATCACAGATGCCCATTTTTTATATTCTGCTCATTTACATTTATAAACCATAATAAGTCGTAAAACACAGCAATCAGAACCACAAACTTGTTCATGGGGGAAGTGTAGCATGTTCTAAAAAATAATTGTGTAAAACGTTTTTTCGTTATGCATTATATGTTTCAGAATACTCATAAAATACATCTTGGCTAATTAATCCTTTAAAGTGCTCAACATTATTATCCATGTATCATAAAACTCATTCACACGAGAAAAAAAAGCAACAGAAAAATATTATTACCACTTTCTTAAAAGAAATAGAGACGGAGTGAAATATACCAGTAAGCTTGAAGGTCAAACATAAGGTAATTAAAAGTAGAATTTTAGGGGTTAAAAAAGAACGTAATAAAAAATCTCTCGTCGTGGGATTACAGTAAAGCAAATAAAATGTATTTTCTTTCTTTGGTTATTGGATCAAAGCTGGCTAATGAGCGTTTGAAGTGGAATCTTTTATTTTTGATGATCACCAGATGATAAAAATAAATTATATCAGTATAAATGTGTATTTTTTTATTATGTCAGAAGGCATTTTGTTTTACTCCATTCCAAAAAATTATTTTTTTAAACCTTTTATTTTCAATATGCTCGCGCCCCCCTCGCAGGGTTACTGACCCCCCTCGGGGGGCGCGCCCCACAGTTTGAGAAACACTGACTTATGGTTTATAAAAGTTACATGCTTGCATTTCTTTCATGTTTAAAAGCACACAAGAAAGTTGCATTTTGTCCCTATTTTGTTTATATATGGGAAACTAAATCACTTAATGATACATACTGGTTGATTCAAAATTAGTGTGACCATATTTAAAAGCATATTACTATTTATAGTTAATTTGAATCGTTTTGTTTCCAGTTTTATTTTTAAAATGAAACATTTAAATTACTAATCTGACCATTTTAATTAGGGGAAATAAATTGTGGTACCGAAATTAGATCCTCAAACTCGAAACGAAATTTTAAAGCTTTTGAAAAATGGTTGTTTAAATTATGATATAAATAAAGTGTTTAAAAATCAGAAAAGACATTTTTTCTAATGTATTACTATCTAAACTTCAAAATGAAATAAAATTTGGCTGGGAATCTAAAACTACAAGGAAAAAATGTGAATGAAAAGAAGTCCTTATTGAAAGAGAAAAAAAAAGAAAATGAAAAGATTCATCACTGCAGAAAATTCTCTGCCTCAAAGAACTTTGGCAAAGAAACGACGGATATTGCAATCGACAATTCGTCGTCAGGTAAAGAAAGTTGGCTATAAAAAGGTGAATGAACATGTATATCATTAAATTTCTGCAACAAATGTAGATAAACAAAGAAAACACTCTTGGCCTCTGTATTTAACGTTACGCAGAGGTGGATACAAAACATAGATAATATCGGATTCACCACTGTTTCATCTGTCATCCACAGCTCATGAAATGAAGACACAACATATTTCATTGAAAAGGCATCATAAAGATGCAGCTGTTTTGTAAAAGGCAAGTTAGCCATTAGGTGATATGGTTTGGATGGGAATGCCCTCTCAATGCTTAACACAAAACCATTTTTTGTTGAACCAAAGGTTAAAATTGAAACTACATACTATGAGAAAAATTTTTGAAGCACATGATCACAAAGAAAGTAAACGTCTTTACCATCGATAAGAGGTTGTTTTTTCACCAAGATTCTGCACCAAGTCATACTGCAAAATCAACTAAACAGTGAATGAAAGCAAAATAAGTTTTCTTTTTCTAAGAAATAGCTACCATCATCCAAATGTGCTCCTTGGGAATATTTTTTTGGGGGGATACTTAAAAAAAACAATTAAATAGATGTAAAGTAAGAACATTTCAAGAGCTTCCAAAATCAATCAAAGAGGAAGTTAGAAAAATTCCCCTAAAAATGTTAAAAAAAAACTCTTTTGATTTAGTCTAAGCGTTAATGTAAACTGTACTAAGCTAAAGGAAGCCACATTAAAAATTTCATGTAAATAACTTAATTCGATAACAATTTATGATACTCTGAAAACGGTCACATTATTTTTTAATCAACCGATATTGTTAGTATTCAAGCTGCTTCTAGAAATTAATGTAATACAACGCTGAGAAAGGCACTCAAATTTAGGAATTATTAAAGTTGCAAATAGAATATTATTGGAGAAACAATTACAAAATACATCATTCAGGATGTCTTGTCAAAACAGACATTGAAAGCTTTCCGATGTTCCATCTTATGAGCTCTACTGTGCAAGTATAATGTCTGTTTTGATAGCATTTCTATACTTACATAAAAATTAAAGTTAATCACTATTACTTTAAATCAGTCTGAAAGAGTTTTAAATTTGTTAATCTTTTTAATTAGGGCTAATTACATCTTTGAATAGAAGGATCGAACTCCAAATTTTAAATAATTTTGAAATACGCTAACAAACGCGCAATTTATTACATAATTTAATTTGAACACCATCGGTCTCCATCTCAAAATGTTGTTACTACGATTGATAGGGTTGATTAATTGATCGTGTAGTTAAAATCACATTTCGAGAAAGTTATTGATGACGTATCTCGTATTTTTTAACCATAGTCAAGCGACTTGATTGACATATGAGAGCTACTTCCCCAAACCTGAACTTATCGCTAACATGAAGATTTTCAGCCTAGATAACTTTAACGAATGTCAGCCCTACGCAACAGATCTTCAGTGACACTATAATATACGAACCCATGATTCGATAAAAACAACGCTAACCACAAGTTCATGGCCATGGTCACTGGGTTACTTTAGCCAAAATGCAAAGTGATCATTCTGGAATGTGGCGAATCTTAATGCTTTAACTAATTTATGATGTCTTGAAAGAGCACATATCCATGAATAATTTAGCACAGGCTAATTTTGCCCAAATTACGCTTGAGCATGAATAAATTTGTTAATTATCAGTACCTAAAGAATATTTGTGAATGAATAGAAAAAATTAACATATCGAAACTTGTAATCGGAAAAAAGATTTTGTATTTTTATTGAAATCATACCTTTAAATACTGCAGTCTAACAGAAAAGCAAGTAAAATAAAAAATATTATTTAAGTCAATTCCTACTTAGGTCAACAAAGAAAAATTTTACACTTTAGTTACTTTTTATAAAATAATTACAATTAATATAAACACAGAATATATGACAGAATCATAATATTAAGGTATCTGACTACTTGCGACAACTTTTTCTGAAAAAATGGAGATATGAGGATTTTTTTGTGATTTTTAGATTTATTTAGTATATTTAAAAAAAACCTAAAATTGAAAACAAAAAAATATTATTATTATTAAAATGGGAAAAAACTGGCAAAACTGTACAAAAAATTACACAAACGGGGACCGCTCTGTACACAAATAGTTTATGAACAAATACTCAATTTTTCAATTTTGATGTGTTACTTTGTTATTCCTGTTTGAAATGACCTTCAGGGTAAGAGATATTTTAATTTTTACAAAAACTACAGCATTCTATCTTAGTGACTACACGAAATTGCTTAAAAACGCAGTGATAATATTCACATAAAGGACTGTAAATTTTGAAATAAAACAGTGATTGATAAATCTGAAGGTTAAAATACTTTTACCATTATACAGAATATACACAAAAATTTCAGCAAATTATTTTAAAAAATGTTTGAGCAGTCGTTGTCCCCGTTTGAGTTTTTTGAAGAAAAAAACATGTTTCGAGTAAAACGCATTTTAAAGTTTGATATCTTGTGCAAAGTTATGCAATCTGCTTTTACTAAAACACTTGTAGTTTTTGCTCTAGTGAATGGAAAATAAAAAACTTGGTATTTTTATAAAGCTAAGAAGATGTCCTATAAAATACAGTCATAAAAAAATTTGTCAATTTTTGAAAAAAAATCATGATTTTAATGTAGTCGAATACCTTAAGTTACAAAATAGAAAGCGATTTTCCTTGCAATTTTTCATTTTTCTTACTATATATGGTGTTGGGCTATTTTTATTTGTTACTGCTTATTCGTAAATTAAATTTAATTATTCTAATAAAATTGTAGAGTAAAAAAGAAATCACATTCTCTCATAAATTTGGCCCTCCCAGGTGGAATTCGAGCCCATAACCTGTGGATTAGAAGTCCAACGCGCTATCCAATGCGCTACAGGGATACAATGGACCATTTTCCTTTCTATATAGGCTGTTGGACTATTATTTTTGTTTGTTCCTATTTATTCATTTTTTAATTTAATTAATGAGTTAATATTTTAAAAAATCTATTAACATCAAGTGTCATTCACTACAAGTTTAAAAAAATGTATTTGAACTTGAATAGAGGAATATAAAGTATTTTGTTAACGACTCAAAATTTGAACAATATATATATGTATGTATATAGGGAGAGAATGAACTAATAGTAGGAATTGAAAAAGCATTTCTTCAAGTTAAAATTTCTGATTTTGCTCCAAGAATAAACATTTTTATAAACAAATATAGATCCAGAAATAAAAATATAAAAGAATAATAATTTTACTAAAAAAATGACTTTTCTAAAATATTACAATTGACATTTATTTTGATAAAAGGATTTTGAAGAACTTTACTTAAAGTGTAAAATGTTGGTTGCTTGTATTTATTTGATCAAAGAAGCATCTAAAGTATAAATTTGCTGACAGTTGGCTCATGCACTTTAAAAACAAGGGTTTTAAAAAAATTTATCAAAATGTTTTAACAGTTTCAATGGAAAGAAACCGTAAATCACATACGTTTCAAATTTAAAAAATAGGATGACCAATTCAACTAAAAATTTTTCCAAAGTATTAGATTTCCATATACTAAAAAAATGCATAAAAAAACTAAAAACAGTTAAAATAAATTACTTTCAATTTTAAAAAACAAATTAAGTGTATAAAGTAAATATTAATCTAAATAGTACCTTAATGATAAGGTTAAAATCTATATGATATAATACAATGTAAGATACGTTTTCAATTCATGTTGATTTGAGAATTAAGCAAAAATTTAAAATCAAAGTGAGAAAAGGAAATTCGATTAACAAAAGAAACTTTATAATATGGCGTTAATTGTGTGATAAGAATATAAACAATAAAAATTAAGAGGTCAAGAGAAATTGGTTACGTCTCAAATTCCTAAGCACAAAAAGGTCATAATTTTCTCAACGGAAGGGAAAAGAACTCTCTTATTATATTTAGAGTTTTTGCTTAAGTGAAATTTATATACCACATTATATAAATACTGTTTTATTGTTACATATTGATTATATTTATTCTGAGGCAGTGTATGTGTTTGTTTGTTTGTTTCATGTGGAGAGATGTGAAAAAAAACAAAAAGCGTAAGTGTCTTTCAATAGCTTAGAATGGTCTGGATTAAACCAATTACCACTGAACAAATTGATCTTAAAAGTATGACTACTCTTTTACCTAATAAACTAAAAAAATTTTCTTAAGTCAATCTCGTTTCCAATTATATTTTAATGTACCATTACGAAAAAATAAGGGCCTTAAAAGAGTTAAAACAAATTTCTTGAGAAAAAACAATTTTATTTTTTTTTATAGAAAGAAATTAGGTTTTATACGTTTTGATTGATTTTAGGAATTGTTCTATATTTCATACGCACACGATGTTGCCCTACACGAAAACTTTTAACCTATAAAGTTGTCTTATTGAGTATTTGATTTACAAAAAATACTTGATTCATTTTCTATTCCTTCTTTTCTCTCACGCTCTCTCATACACTCACACAGTAAGAGAGGGAAATTTCTTACTTTAAACATGCTTCTGATCGGAAAACATGTCAAATTTCTCTATGATACAAAATCTGATTCTATTCGATATTTATGTCATCAAAAGGCTCTTATATCTTAAGACCTTTTATACTTCTTATCAAGAACTAATGGTTTTTAGAAACCTACCAAATCTGATTTTATATGAGAATAATTCAATTGAGAAATAATCATGGGAGACTGAAAACTCGATTCACATCTAACCACCAGACATTTTGCGGATAAAATTAAATTACTCATTACCCTTTTTAATTCTGAAAAACTTTCCCGACTTTTTTTCGTAGAATATCTGGATTTTTTTCTAAAATATTTTTATTAGTGTAACAATTAATCGCAGTCATTTGAAAACATAATAATCAGTCTATTGGAAGAAAGTAAATTGTATTTAATATGAAAAAAAATTTAAAAGTGTTTTGAATATTATCGAAAAATTATTTAAATTTCGTTAAACAAAGCGGTGTGTAGTTAAGTTTTAATCAGTAATTAAGTTAAGCGGTAAATAATGTATAAGTCCATACATTATTTTAATGGTAATACATTTATCGGAAATATTGATCACTTCTGTATATACATAATTAAAACTAAATAATTCAATTATTCAATGTATGCATGCTACGTTAATGATATATAGAGAGTGTTTTTTTTCCTGGTATAGAAGTTTAAGTTGGCATTACTTTCCAAGATGGCCGCCGATTTAACAGCTGTCAAGTGATTTATTCTCAGTTTGGTTTGGCAATTCATCATGAATAGACTCACGCCTGAACAACGCTATCAAATTGTGCAATTTTTTTTCGAAAACAATGGTCGATTTTCATAAGCGAATTTTGTTTAGCGATGAAGCGCACTTCTGGTTGAATGGCTACGTCAACAAACAAAACTGCCACATTTGGAGTGAAGCTAATCCACAAGTGTATGTCGAAACACCGTTACATCCAGAAAAACTGACTGTTTGGTGCGCTTTATGGGCTGGTGGAATCCTTCTTCAAAAACGATGGCGGCCATAACGTTACAGTCAATGGTGATCGGTATAGAGCCATGATTACTAACTTTTTCATTGCTGAATTGAACAATCATGATGTCCAGGAGCTGTGGTTCCAACAAGACGGCGCAACATGTCACACAGCTTGTGCCACAATCGATTTATTGAAAGACACGTTTGGTGACCGCCTAATTTCACGTTTTGGACCTGTGAATTGGCCTCCAAGATCTTGTGATTTAAAACCGCTAGACTATTTTCTGTGGGGCTATGTAATGTCATTGGTCTATGCGGATAAGCCACAAACGCTTGACCATTTGGAAGACAACATTCGCCGTTTTATTACCGATATACGGCCACAAATGTTGGAAAAAGTCATCGAAAATTGGACGTCCAGATTGGACTACATCCGAGCCAGCCGTGGCAGTCATATGCCAGAAATCATATTTAAAATGTAATGCCCCAAGATTATCTTTCGAATAAAAAAAATTCATGTCAATCGAATAATACATCGTTGTTTTATTGCAATTTAAAGTTCTATACATCTCAAAAAAACACCCTTTATAAATAAATTTAAGACAAAAAGCAATTAGAAATACAAAAAATCCTACAGGTCTTGGATCAATGACCAACTTCAAAATAGATAGTTCTAGGCGAAGATTAAGACTAAAAAATTTACATTTAGTGTTTATAACCTATAATTATTCTTTAAGGAGACTTCTTAACATGGACTAACAATTAAACTTACTTATTCTCGAATGACTCAAGAGAATGTCTATTTTTGTCCAAACATAGCAATTTATAGATTTATAGTCACACATTCTTCTAGAAATATAACTCTATATTTAGCAAAAAAGCAAACTAACGAAAAAAATGTCACGCAACAACGGCATTTTTTAATAATATCCCTTTATTCGCAGTCTATTGATTAAGTGATAATTGTCATCGTTTTATTTGTAACACGCAAAGAAGTGGGTTCCGTTGAATTAAATCTAAGATCAAAATGTGTTATTAGTCTAATAAACTCGTTGAAGGAATATTTCTATAAATGGACGAAATAGATTTCACGTTTGGTTCCTGCTCTGAATTAACTTTAAAAAATTAAGATTATAAAGAACATTATTATTTGTAATATTGATAAAGAGTAGCTAAATTTCTATTTTCTAGGCTTGGTATATTGTTTAATAATCATTTTTAGCCATTTTTCTAATTTGTAATTCATACAATATTATTTTTGCTATATACATATATATATATATATATATATATATATATATATATATATATATATATATATATATATATATATATTTACTTAATTCTTTCCTTAATTCCATTTGATCAGATAGATAATTGTATTCATTATACATGTTATCTTATTGTGATAATTTAGTCTCCTTTTTAACACATTTTGTTTATTTTCTTAGACGCTACAGAACTGATTATCCAAGCTAAAACAGAAGTATAATTCCCAGATGACTTTAAGCGTCACCTCTCAAATTTTACATTTAATTTACAACACCATTTGTGTATCTTTATTATTGTTTCATGCCCTACTGTAAAATTTTAAAGTGCCTCAAAATTTGACGTAAACGTAATATTAAAAAAATTTCGAAGCTAAATATAATCAAGGAAATAATTTTGAAACAATATGTAACATTTTGAGTACAAAATTTTGAACTAAGATAAAAGAATTACTTTTTAACAATACGTGTTAAAAAATCTTTGCATTTTCATTCAAGTGAAAAATTAATCAATCAAAAATACCAACAAATAAAGATATATTTTGAGTTTTACGAACAAAACTCACATGATATATTTTTTTAAAAAAATAAGTTTTTTCTCTTTACATTTTACTTACTCTTTACATATTACATATGATTTTAATATTAATTTTTGAGTATATATATATATATATATATATATATATATATATATATATATATATATATATATATATATACTTGCACTACATGAAATACTAAATTGAGCTTTGATTAAATTTATTATGAAACACACAAGCCCACTTAAATATGTTTTTAGCTTATAGTATCTGCTAACATTTAGGGATTTATTTCCTAGCAACATATTTATTAAAAGATTTAGAATCTGAGTTTTGTTTTTTAAAATTTTTATAGCTATTCAAAAATGTATATTAACAAATTTTTAATTGATGGTTTTGTAGTATTCCTTGTAAGGCAAAAATATCACGTTTTTAACTAATATAAAAATTTTCTCATCTCTATGTTTATATTCAAAATTTAAAACTCACATATTTAGCATACACTGAAATTGAAATTATTTCAAAAATTTAACTCAGTTTTAAGAGTATCATACTTAATGATTTTTTGAGGAATTAGTAAGTATTAGTAAAATTAGTAAGTATTTATGA